AAAGAGAGAAAGGTACATAGATAGATAGATAAATAAATAGCGTAAATAACTGATCAACTAACCTAAAGGATTCTGTGTTCTATGCACAGAATTCATTTATAGGTAAGGATCTGATACCCAATCTTACCCAAGGTAAGAAAAGGATTTCTCCAATGCTAAGAAAAGAGTAAAGAAGGAAAATACAGCAGCAAGGAAAAGGTAGCTTAGTAACAGGGAAATCAGGGATAGGTAGAAAGTAAATAATTCTCTTAAGGGAGAATCCTGAACATCCTGTCCAAAAAAAGCCTGGGTTGAGAAACAATCCCAGAGGAAGACAGAATGGCATCATGATGCTGGTTCTCCAGTAAGGTAATGGTGTTGAGGAAGAGACTGGCAAACCAACACAGCTCAGGAAAGGCAGGGAGAGCTGACAGAAGGGAAGGGCCATGGGGCATAGGACATCTCAGCAGTTACCTGCACTTGCAGAGAACCAAGTCAAGTTTCAGCACCACGTGTGTTGTCCTGACCCTTGACAAATAACCTTGTAACAGTGGAAATTCTTCCAAATCCACCAAAATTAAATATCTGCCATCTTGTATTTCTGTACTGAGCCCAGATAAAGTTACAAGGACTACATTTATCCTCTTATTTTAAACAACAGACAAAGCAAGTGACAAATGCAAAGCAGTCATTTAAGATACTGGATGTTGGGTCATGAAAAACAATGGTCCCTAAGAAGTGGGAAACAAAAGAGATGAGCCCTGTGGTTGTCCCAGTTTCTTGCCTTAGATGTATTTCCGAGCTGCAGCCCAGGGAAAGGGAACCCACACAGAGATCAGCAGACTTGCTACACTGAAACGTGAATGCCTGGAGAGATTATGCAGTTTGTGAATCTTCGAATTTTATATCCAGCAAAAGTATCTTTCAAAAATGAAAGTGGAATGAAGACTTTTCCAGACCTACCAAAGATAAAAAGGTATCACCAAAGGAAATGAACATCAGGAGGAAATATGGATCTACATAGAGAAATACATAGCATAGGAAATAAAAGGCTATATGTATAAACTTATGCCTATTTTCAGATTATTTAATCTCTTTAAAATATATCTCTACAAAAATATATATCTCTTCAGCATAAATAACAATGCATTGGGGACAGTAAGGTATGTATAAATACAATGTATGATAACAATAGAATAAAGGTTGGGAAGGGAGAAAAGTAATGTTCTTATACTATATGTGAAGTGGGAGCAGATCACTTGAATAGAGGCTAAGTTAAAAAATATACACTGTAAATCTTAAAGAAACCACCCACTAGTAAAACAAACCAAAAAATTATAGTGGATAAGATAAAAAGGAAATAAAACTGAATCATAAAACTACTCAATCTAAAAGAAAGCAGCAGAAGAGGGCCTTTTACCAGGAGACCTAAGATCCTGACCTATCTCTATCTCTGGATAAAGGCAGGTATGCAGTTAGATTTTGTCTCTTGGTCCCAGAGAGATCTTGGTACACTGGGGGTTTAGACAAAGTCTACTAAAGTCATTAGCTGACTGCCTGGCAAGTGTGAGGTCCTGATTTCAATTCACAGTACGTTCCCCAAATTCATTAGTTGATCTGCAAGGTTCCACTGAGCCTTACAGTTCTGCAGCTTCTGGTCTCTTTTCACAAGTACAACCTGAGGTTTTAGAGATGCTGTTTGGCTGGCAGTTGAAAGGAGCTCAGAGAAACCTCATTAGAACTTCCACTGGAAGAGAAGATTGGATTGGTGATTGTCTAGATTTCTAGACCCTCGTTTAAGAAATGAGGGAATTCATGAATCTTTGGGATCTGTCAATATCAACATTTTAATATCTGATTCTAAGTATCATCCTCGATTTTTTCCAAGCACTTAGTCAGTACCCAGTAAAACTAAAATATGTCTCCCAAACTCTGATCACAGCTTTGAAATTATATTAACTTTTAGATGATTATGGATAAAAATATTTCTGTCAGGCTCTGGCTGAGTAAAACCAACCAATTTGGCAAGGGAAAATTCATGGGTTATCCCAGGTAACGATTCCTTCTTTATATCCCCATGATGACAAAAATTCTATCAGGGAAATTCCTCAAGATCCAATTTTCCTACTTAACTGCCAATCCAACCTTCCATGATTGTTGTGTGTATCATTAATTTCTTCCCTTTGCCCGAATAGATTTAAAATGAGAATGAGAGGAGTTTTATCCCAAATGTACAATTCTTTGACCAATGGAGAAGCCCTATTTCCACATGTGGACCAGGTTTTATCCGACTTCTACTTTGACAGAATCACAGAATTCTCCTTTTGGTCTTCTTTTCTACCTCCCCGCCCAGGATACCACCACACCATTCAAGACTATTGAGATTATAGTAAGTTGAAGGCAACTGAGAAATACTATTTTACTGAAAAGGACAAGTCTTTATATTGTGTGCTTTACAGAAAAAAAAAAAAAAAAAACCTTAAAAATGATAAGCTATTGCCATGCAGTTCCCTTGAATGAGCAGTGTGGTTCCCAGCCTTGCTTTCTTGTCCAAAGCTGTGTTCTTCCCACCAAAGGTCTCTCTTCAAAACACAAGAATTCAAATCCCCTACAGCAGCCCGCAGTCAAGGCAGATCATTGCCAAGCAGAGTGGTGCCGCTGCTTTACGCTCCTATGGTTGTCAGACTGCACAGGACTTAAGCACAGCAGTCCACCCCGAGGCAAGGGCCTGTGGGACTCATTCTAGGATGCTCCCTGGATTCCAGAAACCTCAGATTCTACCTGACTCTACATATATATACATTGTGTTTTTTCTTATACATGAAAACCTATGTATATTAGTCATTTTCCTCTCCCTGAAACAAAATACCCAGGAACCCCTAAATTTAAAGGATAGGTTTATTTTGGTTCACCCATTTCAGTGCATTCAGTCCATGATCTGCTGGCTCCAAGGCAAACATGACATGGTGCAAGACACGGCAGAGGAAAGCTGTTCAACGCAAGACAGCCAGGAAGCAGAGAAAGAGAAGAGAAGGTCCAGGATGAGAATGCACCGTTCCAAGTCACGGGTGATTCACACCTTTCGACCAGGCCCCGCCCCCGAACATGAGACTTTGTGGACAGTTTAGATTTAAACCATGACACTGTTATAAGGTTTATATTTGATTTTAGCTGAAAGGCCAAGAAACAGCCTATGACAAAGTTTAATTTATGAATCAAGCACAGTAAGAGATTAACAATTACTGATAATAAAATGGAGAAACTATAGCAACATACTATGAAATTGTTTTTTAAAACTTAAGAATTATTTCAGGAATTTTTCATTTAATACTTTCAGACCTAGGTTGATAGCAGGTAGCTGAAACAACAGAAAGTAAAGTCCTGAGTTGGGTGAGAGGGAGGAGAGTAGTACTACAAGGCAACAGAAATGACGCCTGCTTCAGACCCTTAAGCATGGAAGGAACTGATACTCAGTTCAAGCCTAATTCAATGTTTATTTTCAAAATTTATTTTCTCATAATGTAGAAAGTCCCAATGTAAGGTTTAGTCAGTTCATTTGTTCCATGATGTCATCAGAAACTAAAGCTAACTTTTCTCTCTGCCTGCTCCACTGGGCAAGGCAATATCTTCATCTCAGGGCTGACATGCTCCTGGCCAGCAGTCAGCACAACAATAATATCCTTGTTCATATCCAGTGGGAGAGAAGCACTGACTCTTCTTTGCACAAATCTCAAGAAAACCTATTCTCCTCCTGGTTTTATTTGCCACTAGATCCTCAGTACCTTCAGAGTGGCCATGAAGAGCTAAATGCCAGCTGAAAGTTATTTGCATATTCCAATTTTCTGGGCTTATTTCAAATTTTCGCTATGTCCTTTTACATGTAGTAACATTGATGAGCTTTAAAAATAAGCAATAAACAGGGGTAACAATCTTAGGTATACAGAGTTTTTAGCCAAATGTTTGAAGTATCCAGCATGCAATCAAAACCCAATAGATACCTGCTGAGTGAATAAAAGAATAAATGTATCTCATGGCCTGAATCTGTGTGAACCTGAATCATTCACTGACAAGGGAACAAGAAGAAACATCATAACATTGCTTTCTCATCCAAGGGGAAATGACCATAATAGATGATGATCCCATTATAGGGAAATCTATCTGTCCCTCAAGAACATCACCTTATAGTTACACAAAGACACAAACAAAACAGTGGAAATTAAATATATTTAATTTTAAATATGTCTTATCCTCCCTGCATGGCTAAATTTTAGGAGCATTCACTATCCTGTAACTTCTAAATGTAGATAGGAGGCAATAGGGGGATCCATCTTCCTGCTATATAAGAGAATCCCTGTTCCTGCAATCCCCAAAAGACGGTGCAAGGCAATTTGACCTTCCAGGAAAATTGATCTATTCAGATCTCAGGTCCCCTCATCTGGTATTTTGATACATTTTTGTACTGGATAGTACGTGTCCTGTCCTCCCACCCCCCCAAAAGGGCATGCTCAAGTCTTAACTCCCAATACCTCTAAATGTGACCTTACTTGGAATGGGGTCTTTGTACAAGACAGCAGGTGAAGATGAGGTAGAGTGTGCCCTAATTCATTCCTGTAAGAAGAGGGAAATGTAAACAGACAAAAAGCAGACAACACACAGGATAACATGACAACAGAGGCACAGACTGAGTGATGTGCTTACAAGCCACGAGATGCCCAGGACTGCCGGCAACTGCCAGGAGCTGGGACAAGACAAAGAATTCTTCCTCTAGTGCCTTCAGGAAAAAGATCATCCTTACTGACTTCCATACCAACTCCCTCTATCATTAAGCTTCAACTGTGGTAGGTTTTTGCTACTAAGAACTCTCAAGAGATTTTATAAACTAAATAAACTTTTGCCAACTTTCTTCTGGCACCAAAGATCCCCAGAACTAAGTTTACAATAATCTGGTTCCTTGTCCACCCAGATTGTTATCTCCTCTGCAATTGAAAACCTTCATGTTTTCAGTCTGGTGTGCTTTCTGTCCGGCTTGTGGCAATTGCTTGGAGCTGTAATATATAAAATCCACAGAAACTACCTCTCTCTTTTCTGTTCATCTTCCTGCAGTACCATAAAGTTCCTCTTCTGGAAATGGCCCTGTAACACAACCTCCACCCAACAGATGTTCACAGCCCCCAGGTGGTCAGTCAGGAGACATATACACCACTCTTGCCCCCAGGTATCACTACTGCTGCTGCTGTCTTGTTGATTGCTTTCTTCATCAATGAATATGTACTATTAATAGCTACAGAACATGTAGCCTGTGTCAGACACTATGCTAGCACTGAGATATAGCAAGATGAAAACAAATAATGGAACCCTTGAGAAGTGTCCTTTCTAATAGGTGAAGATCATAAATAAAGCAAAGCAAGTGTTGATAAGGACTACAAAGAAAAATTATTTAGATGAAGTACGGAAAGGCTTTAGGAAGAAGTGCATTTTAAAAGCACACTCAGTATAAACCTACCCTGGTTATTGTAGCAGAACCCAACTGCAAACAATCTAGGTTGCAGAAATTCTATGTATCACTTTGAAGGGTAGTATTTGATTGTGACTTGCCGGGAAGCATCATCCCTTGAAATGCCCACGATTTTCAGTCTCTCCCATCTCTTGGGGAAAGCTGCTTTTCCAACCTAGTCACTCCTCAGCCACAACTTGCCCTTCCCTCTGAGGCTAATGGTTGGAGGCATTCTGCTGGTAGCACCCCAGCACGCCAGCAGTGCTTTTTCTGAATACAGGGCACAGAACCGAACCCCACCCCAAACGATTTTCCAAAAATGAAAAAAATAAGCACAGTGACGTTTACTCCATCTGAAATACAGTGTACAGAACTGAGAGTGTCAGAGGTGATTGTTCCCTTTTATCCTGTGTTGGCCAGAGCCCATCTGGAATATCTAGTGGACTATTGACTCACATGGACCCTAGAGCAGTGGTGCCAAACCCATGACACATGCGTTATTTTTCTTTTAAGAGAAAAGATGTTAATGTATGAGTTGTTTTGTTTTGTTTTGTTTTGTTTTTTTTTCTAAACTAAAACCTCAGTATTCAGGTTTAATTGCAGTGTTGGCACTTTGTAATAAATACATAGGTTTTGGGTTGCAGTTTGGGCACTCGTCTCTAAAATGTTCGGTCAGATTGCAAGACATTTTTGTCTCCCACTGCTTCAACCCCATGTTCTTTCCATTTCATTTTATTAGCTTTAGGAAAAATTAAATGAGTCAGGGCAGTTGCTGTGGCAGTGAGGACACTCAGTGTAATGACCTCTAGGTATCCTGTCTGCTCCCTATAACTCTGGCTCCTTTATTCTAGAAATTTGATTAACGCCATCCCAATGCACAAAGCTTTAAAGTGCTGAGCTATCATTTGCCTGTTTTTCCCTTCTAATGTTTAAAAGGAAATCAATTGATGGCAGCTCGTGTTTCTGTCCTTTGCGTCCCTTGCCAGAAGTGAATCCCACTGTTTCTGAGTGAGAACAGGCTGTGCGCCTGCCCTGCAGCCTCTCCAGTGACAGTGAGATCACAAAGAAAATCCACATGCTCCTCCTCGTGACAATTAAACCATGGGGGCATGGAGGTCAAACCTCTCTCCTCTCCCATCCCAAGGTGTTCTTTATTCTTTGCCTTCCAAAATCAGTGGGAACACAACATCAAAAAGACACTAAGAGGGTACATTACAGCCATCTGGAGGGTTAAAGTCCACCAAAGACCAGCTATGGAATCTTGGGTACATGAAGTAGCCATTCAGTGGCTCTGTTTCCCCCCTGTAAAGTGGAATTAAAAGCAGTAGCTACTTTCAGGGCACATAGCAAGAATTACAGGAATTCAGATGTGTAAAGCAATTGAAAGCAAAAATTGCACCTAGTGAACACCATATAAGCTCTCATTCGGGGTTAAAATTAAACACATAAAATCGTGTTTATTAGTTGGAGGCAGATTGTGTTCTGTGTTTCCCCCAGGAGAGACAGTGGGATATGACAGCTTCTGGAATCTGACAGACAAGGAACAGTACTGGACTCCAGTTGCATGACCTTGGAAATGATATTTATCCCAGGTAAGCATCAACTTCCCCATCTGCTGAACAGTGATAATAACATGCTCTTCACATAGCTGTTGTGAGAACTGGCTGGCTAAGTGTTCAGAGTGAGCATGCATATCGAACGTTTGGCTTTAAATGCATGAAATCCAGTGTGCACCCTTGATAGGGAAAGTAGGTTCTCAGAAGAAAAGAACTTAATCATCCCAGAATTCCAGAAAGAGGGCCAAGGATATTGCTCAGTGGCATAAGCACCTGCCTGGCAAGTGCAAGGTCCTGAGTTTGATTCCCAGTACCAAAAAAAAAGAAAGAGATCTTTGTTCCTGATTAACTTTTCCTAATAAAGGGCAACTACTTCATCAGTTCTGAAATCCAAGTCACTCAGGCAGTGATGCAAGGTGTCCTCCATGCGCATCCTGGCGTGCTTTCGCATCCTGCCCTGTGAGTCTCCTAGGCTATCCCAACCCAGGTCTCCCTGATTGACACACTCTTCCAACAGCCCATCCATTATTCAGAACTGTCTTCTGAACCTAGTTCTAAACATGGCAAGCTATAGCATCAAGCTTTCCTAATAACTATGGACTGATAGTTTACCCTTTTTGGCCTACTAATAGTAGAGGTTTCTCTTGGACAAGACCATTTGAAAAGCAGCAATTTGGTAGTTATACCAGGCTTGACAAGAGAAGAAAACATAGCACTCCACAAGGAACCCAATCAATGCCAAGTATCCTGTGTGACCTGTGTGTGCAGAACTCTTTGACTGCCTTAGGAAAAAACTCACACGACCCAAGTATAACATCATATTTCTGATGGCATCAATTTTTTTGCCTTTTTGTCTCAATGATAATAGGCTGTGGCTCTACATCCAAAATAGCTAAACAAGAAGCTTCAGGTTCCCTTCTTCCACATGTCTCCATTTGTACATGAACACACTTAGAAAGAAAGTTATTTATCCATGATCAAAGGTAAGAAATGACAGCCAGATCTAGAACCCTGGTCCCCACTTCTGTCCTATCATTCTTTCCACCTCATCACATTGCCCCCCAATGTTTCTGAACTTTAGACATAGTAATCCATTTATGTTACCAAAACTTCTTTCTCATTTCAGGATCTCATCTCCTGCTGGTACACTCACAGAAAAGAATATTTACTGAGAGTATCTTTGTCTTTAAAACCAAGGACAAAGTGCTTCAAACAGCTAACCCTGAAGCAAGTCATGCCCAAGATGTGCGTTCCCTGCACCACTGCCTTGAGCCACTCCAAATGCCACATGTCCTCCTTGCCCATCTAATTTTCCACGTAAATATCATCAGCCACCATCAGTAAGTCATTTCCTGCTGATAAGCAGCCCTTGACATGGCTATAAGCATTCCGATTTTACCACCTGGTCATTAATCCCTAAAAATGCCCTACACCCAAATTCTTAATTGCTTAAACAAATGGTTTCCATGGGTGATTAAGCACTGTAGTGAATTGGCAGCACCTGCTGACAGCAAAAGTCGTTCTTTGTGACATTAGTTTCACATGCCTCCCCTCCATCCCAGGGCACACTGAGTGAGAGCTTGAGACAACAGTGAGGGTCATGAAAACAAGGCCTGAAGGTGAGGGACAGCTTCAATCTCAAGTCATGATGAAGCAAATATCATTATTGAGAAGTTTTAAATAAAGATATGCTTCAACAAGAATTATCCTGGAAAAACAACCTAAGAGTGGTCACCATATGCCCACCTTAGCATTTGGTGTGCCTGTCTTTCTTTTTTAATATTGGCTCCATTGTTTACCCACCCAGCTCTTGGGATTTTCTGGATGCAGCAGCCCCCTCCCTGCCTCACAGCCACTACTCACAGAGGTACCTGAAGCGCAGCCACTCCACATGTGACTGACCCACCACGACCTGTGATCTGAAGGCCATCACAGTGCCTTCTTATAATTTTTGGAATTGAGGTCAGAGATTAAAATCAGCATTTTTCTGTTGCACATGCTTTGAAGCTTGGGGCACTCCAGTTCCTTCCAGCAGCAGAACCTCAGGTGTTTCTGGCCTCCTCCATTCTAGGTCCTCGCCTCCATAGACTTCCATGTACCCACAGTCTTATTCTGTTGGTTTCTCAATGGTTAATCACCCCTTCTGTGTACAAAGATCTCATGAATAATATGCCAATTCCAAAGAAATACCTTTAATTTTGGAATTGTGGTAAAATCTTAGAGAAGATAGGGAGTTGTATCTTTTGATTCAGGCATAAATAACCTATTATCTATGCTGGGGACCAGAATCCATACAATGAAGTGCTTAGAATTATTTTACTTCAAACCATTTTGTATCTGTTGAGAACCTAACTTTCCAAAGTTTAAATTACTCCACAGGATACTATTTCTCTTAACATTTTAAGAGGGAAAGATTATATAACTCAGAATCTTAGCCATGCTTAAGAGCTCAAGGTAAGAAGAGACATTTGCATAAATCCTACACTACTATCTTACACATTCCCTTGCATAAAAGGAAGGTGGGCAAAAGTGATCACGGTTAGTTCTGACCTCCCCAATCCCGACACTGATGGAAGAGTTTTCGGGCTTTCAGGACAACTCCTGAGATACACAGTCTTTAAGAGCTACAGAAAGTACAGCTGTACCTGGACTTGGGTTAGTGACCACTTAACCCTGAGTTGCCACATTATTTATTCAATATGGAGTGATGGCAGATCCACTGCGTCCCGGTCACTGATAGGTCATGCCCTCTCCTGCTCACAGCTGTGCTTTGCCTACAGCGCTTTCTCACAGCATCTTCCAAATTAAATGCTCCTGCAAAGGTTTCTCTCCTGTTTATCTACCACTACAAAGTGAACCGCTACAAAGCTTAGTGGTTTAAGTCAACATTATTACCTTTCATGGGTAGCTGGCACAAGATAGATGGTCCTTGTTGGTTTTCTCATGCTTCAGATGATATGGTGGCTACCCACAATTGACTGGGGGAAAAAACCAAGATGGCTCCTCTGTGGCTGAAGGTTGATGCTGCCTAAAGACTGGGAATCAAGTGGGGATTTAAGCTGTAGTACTTACACGTGGCCTCGATGAGGCTTGGGATCCCTACAGCTGGACTTCATGGCAGCTAGGTTTCAAGAGGTAGCCTAAGGAAAGGAAGCATTCCAAGAGGCTCAAGAAATTGCCACATGGCAGCTTCTAGCCTCAGAAGTGATCATTTCTGATATCATTGTTGGCCAATAGTGAACCACAGGTGCATCCAGATTCAAAGGGAGAGGAATACTTGATATTGTGAATACTGGGAGGCTTGGTTCACTGGAAAGCCAACTTTGGAAACTTGCTATCCTAGTCTATCTTCTCACCACTACAATCCACCTTCTGCCCACTACTGGTTTATTAACCTCCCACTTGTAAAATACACTCACCCCTTCAAAGACCTCCAACTCTCATCCCACTGTGGCTTCAGGTTGGGGTTTTAAAGTCCTGGATCTCATCACATAACCAGGTTAATTTGCTGAGGAAATTCTTCAGGTGCATTCTCGGTTACCATCAATCTCTTCTAGTCAGCTGTTACTACAAGAAGCCACTCAGTGTTTAATGGATTCTGTCAAGCATTGAAGGTTATGAAGAATTTCGGAAAGACACAGCTGGGTGGCCTGTTGTTTGGCATTAGCTACAGAAGCAAAAGCTTGTGGATCGCTTCCAAGGTATCTTCTTCATTTATGTGATGGCTG